ATATGCAATATAAAAATAAACAATTTATTCAATACAGCATCCATTTTGTGTTAAAATCAGTCAGAAAAACCCTCACGATCCTAAGGTTTCGACGTCCGTGGAAGTTTTGTTCTAACAATGCAAACCATTGTGTAAAAATTACCAGAATGGAAGCTGGTTAGGGAACGCGTTAGGGAATGATTCATGTTTTGGCACTTGTCTTGGATTTACGGTATGTTTCAGCTAAAATGATCAATTATTCAAAAACTAATGATGTTGTTATTTTGAATGGATACCACTGAGTTTCATAGTTTTCAATTATTAAGAGAAATGGAACAATTTTGGCACCTCAAAGCCAGTACTCCTTTGTTATCAGCAAGAAAAAAATTAACCAGTTACGACTGAGTCTGTTTTGAAGAGTGTTACTGCAGTCACAAAGCCTAGAGAGCTTTTTATAAACATAGTTGAAAGATGGGTTGCTGTAGCATGATTTTATGTAAACGATTATATACATTCCTTCAATGCGTTTGAGTGGATGAATGGTAAAATATATAGGATATAGGATTTTACTTTCTTTTTCTATTGAGATAATGTCTCACAATGAATATTTTCCCTTTCTGCGTTTCTTCAAATGTGCTGTCACTACGTTCTGTTCTGCTTGTTTTATTTCCTTTGCCCATCCAATGTTGGAGAAGATTTAAAGACTGTCTAGAGGCTCCCTGTTCTGTTTGTGCAATGAGTAGCAAAGCAGCCCAATTCTTGATCGGTCCTTACACACTGCTGTCATAAATGTGGTCAACAGTTCCAGCCTCTTTTCTCAACCAACAAGAATAGCATCTTGAACTTCTTTAGACCAAGCAAAAGTATAGGGAAGTGGGGCAAATTAAAAGAATAAGTAAGTACAACGTTTTAAGACCTTAATATGTTGCTAACATTGCATTTTTAACATTTAACATGTTTCAAAATAGCCCAGTCCTTTTTTCTAAGTTAACCAACATCTCCATGTCTCATTATATGTGATCTGGAAACGTATCCTGATTTTTATGGACAAAATGGAGGTTCTTTGAGAAGATTCTACTAAAGCTAGTATCTGTCTTTTCAATGTTATTTTTTAAATATTTGTCTATGTTACAGGGAGACTACTGAAAACTCTGGATGTGAATATAAACTAACCTTGCTTGCTTATGGTCTGTCAGAATCAATTCTGCTCATTTTATTTTCTTTTGGTATTACCTAGGAATACCACTTGTGTGATCTGCTGAGGACAGTATGTTCTTTTCCATGTACAGTGTTTCCAGATGATAATGACAAAGATCACAGGTTTAGACAAAACTCATAGAAATACATTTGCATAAATCAAAGGAACAGATATTATCAAAATTAAATTAGGGCTGAGCCAATTAATCTAAAAATCTAAAAAAGTAAGAAATTCAAATACCTAATGGAGACCTTATATAAGTTCCTGAGTTTTTTCTCCATCTCAAACTATTTCCCCTTCACAAAAAACACCGAAAGGGAAATTACATTTAGCTGCACAATACAACAATTTCACTCATATTGTCTGAAAGCATACATATAATTCCACTTTACTCTAAAATAGATTCTTCCTATATATCTCTTCCAAGTGAGAATTTTTGTGGTGATGCATAGCAGGACTCTACTTGTGTTTACAAAATCTGTATAGCTTACATTAAAAGTATAGCCACAATGCTTCACCTTTTACTGATAAAGCTAATTTTCTGTTGAAAGGTTGTCTAACAAAACAGCTTCCAGAGAAACCTGATGAGCTGTCTGGCCTCCAGTTAATGAAGCAAATGGCCCAACCCTAAACTAATTCTATTTCTAAAATAAATAGTGTTGAAAATCTTTTACACTTTTCTAAATGCTTTCTAAATGTGTCAGTCTCTTGTCATGCTCACACACATGTTTCAGGGTTAGTTACAACTTCCCCATTTTTTTCGGGCTCATCTTTCAGAAACTGTTCCACTTCAATGGAGTCCACCTTGGCATCTTCGGGAGTTTTGTCTTCAGCTTTGTTTAATTCCTCTCTTTCTGCTGCTTCTTCCTTTGTATGCGGTTCTTCTGATTTTTTCTTAATGCAAAAGAAATTTCCTAAAGCCAATACGAATGCTGAGGTGGTAACTTCAATTCCAGCAATAATAAAAACAAACATGTACCTCCCTGTTTTATCCCAGAGTTTTCCTGAAAAAGATAACATTTCAGGTAATTAACAAAAGTGATTATCTTACAATGAAATTTTGTCCGTTTTTTTTTTTTTTTAAATAAAGTCAGCATTTAAATAACTAGTGGCCATTTAAATCACCAGAAGTACAGTGATTATGTAACCAAGTTTTTGAAATGGTATTTGAACAAGTTTATAACAAAAGCGTTCACAACTATTTCAGTGTCAGCTTCCAGCATTCACTGGAACTATTTAGCAATCTCAAACACATATTCCCCCTCACCCACACATTGTCATGCAATTCAGCTGGAGTAAAACCAACCGAGACTTTGTATGCAAGATATGGGACAAGCACCATGGATTTCACATCAAAATATGTGCATCCATGGCCAGGATCTGTATCATCAGCTTCCTGACAGTCCCAACCTCATCTTCCCTCTCCAGGCAGGCAGTGCATTGTGCAGGTCTTATTAAACAGTCAGTCTGCAGAAACTGACCGACTCTCTCACGCTTTATTCAAGTTACATTTTCACTGGATTGTCTGCAGGTGAAGGAATAGGAGGGAGGATGTGGAGGAAGCTCCGCTCCAAACTTTCAAAACTTCACAAGAAGTAGTGCATAGTACTGTTTTTGTCCATAAAGGAGTCTGTCACAGTAAAGATACCTGATGCTTTTTAAGTGTCCGGTGTAAACAGCATTCTGTGGCGGTGAATTAGATTTTTTTCAGGTCAATGTTGTATAAAATGTATGTGCTTTAATTAGTAATGAATTTGCAGTATTTTGTAGTGTCCCCTTAGCGTTGGGTTGTAGGACACGTGCAACAGAAGCAGTCACTCTACCTTCCTTAAAACAGTCCTAATGTTTCCTAGTCCTCCTTATACGGCTTTTTTTTAATCCTTTTCATATTTTTTCTCCTCCTTCAAATCTACCATGGGGATACAGAATCGATCCCAGTACTTTCTGAAGTAAACTGATAGCTTTCATATTCTGCATCCCAAATCGAAAGAGGTCTGAACTTCATAAAAGTTATACACTGTTTGTGTATGAAATTTATCTCATATAATGTTAGCCATCAACTAATAGGATGTCTAGTGTAGGCTTTCAGTGGAGGAAGAGCAGCATCTCCAGATGGCAATTTGACCAATTGTAAAACAAGCCCAAGACCAAAAAAGGACAGAATTCATCCCATTGTAACGGCAAAAAAAGTCATGTAAGCATGTGCAACCCTAGGACAATATGCACTTTTTGAGTGACTCATGTTGTTTCTTTTTTCCCCTCCTTATCGTGTAATTTGTATAAATAGGTGCAATGCAAATGATGTTGACTTCTGAACTAAATGGAATTCTTACCTGCTGATGGTGGACCAATTAGAACAGCCATAGCTTCTGCCAGGAGAACTAAGCCAATAGCACTGGAAAACTTCTGAGTACCAACAATAGCCATGAGAACTTCAAACTGAAGAGCACCTACCATTCCATAAGAAATGCCAAAGAAAATGCAAAAGACTACCAGGCCGCCGTAATCAACAGACATGGAACCCATAAGATCTGTAAAGCCATTAAAAATCATAGCAAAACTGAAGAGGTAGACACAGCGTGGTCTAACCCACTTGAGACCAGCTACCATTCCACAAATAGGCCGAGCAAACATATCAATGAATCCCAGAATAGTCAGAAGAAAAGCTGCTTTCGTGTCTGGATACCCTAAATCCTTGGCATAGCTCACGACGAAAACTGGCGGCACAAAGAGGCCAAGCACCATGATAGAGGCCGCTAGTGTGTAGATTACAAAACCACCATCTTTAAACACACTGAAATCCAGAAGCTTTTTCTTCACTTTCTTCTCATCAGGTTCTTTGGTGGCTTCAGACTTTTTGGGTGGCTCCAAAGGTCTCATTAGCGCTCCACATACGCAGCAGTTGAGCAGCATCCCACCCAGTATAAGGAATCCTCCTCTCCAACCATACTCATGTTGTAGTATCTGCCCCAATGGTGAGAGGGCACAAAGAAACACTGGGCTCCCAGCAGCAGATAGGCCATTGGCTAAAGGGCGGCGTTTGTCAAAGTAACGGTTTAACATGATGAGCGAAGGCTGAAAGTTGAGCGCCAGACCCAAACCTGGGACACAGAATACATAAAAATTAATACTGGCCTGCATATTGCTATAAGACATCTGTAATTATAGTTCTTTAGATTCCGTTTTACTTCAAAGGGAGGTAAAAAATTCCAGGATAACAAAGTTTTTGAAAGAATTCTACCTCCGTATTATTCTTATACTCCATAGGTACACGTCACTGATGATAGCAGTGGCTATTGAACATACTAGAAAAAATTAACTTTCGTAAAAAATAAATATGACAAGTTCATTCCGTATTGAACTGGTGTCTTGATAAATAAAGTCCATTTGGATGATCCTGATGGTTTAGATATTTGTCATTTATGTGACTCTTCATACCGATAGCCAAAACATTAGCCAGCTCCTTTTCAACCATGCGCTCTACTTACCAGTAATCACACCTGCAGTTAGATAGATCTGAACAATGCTCGTGCAGAAGGAGGCGATGACCATCCCCATTGATGCAAAAAGGCCACCCACCAGCATGACAGGGCGACAGCCAAAGCGATTGACACATACACTGCAGAGTGGACCTGAACAAGAAGAACGAGTTACAGTTACTGCGATAAACCAATTTTTGCAATTTATTTTTGTGTTTGCAATTCTTTCCTTACTTTGCCCACATTGTCGGGCCAACCTGGGAGGGTTTAGTCATACAGTTAGTTGTTTTCCTCTTCAGAATGCCACGCACATTTTCTTTTTTAATCATCTTTCGTACCTACTTAGTTACAGGGATTTAATTTTTATACGCAAGGTGGATGCGCTTAGATTTCTGGATTGACGTGATCCACAATAGTTGTTCTTTGGAATGCCTTAATTTTTGCCTCAGTAGTGATAATGCAATGGTGATTCCCGATATAAATGTCTGTATGATTTACATGCAATACTGTTTCAAAAACGGGTGACTACCTACCTGTCCCATAAAGCATGGCCAGCAGAATGGAGGAAATCCATGCAGTGTCACTATATCCAACGCCAAATTCCCGGATAAGTTCTTTGAAGAATACACTAACTGCCTTAGGAAAGGCATAGGAGAATCCTGTGATGATAAAACAGCCCAAAAGGACAGCCCAGCCCCAGCCTCCATCAGGGGCTTTAACACCAGATGGACCATCATCAGCTACTACAGCTCCCATGATGAAACTCAAAAGTGTTCCCTAAGACATAAAAAAAAAAACACCACACGGTTATGGGCTATAGACATTGGGACAGTAATCTTACCCGAATTACCCCAAGGTAGAAGTTGTACTACAATTAAAGTTACAAACAAGATATGTGACTGCTTTAAATACCAATATTGAAGACACAGGGCTACTTTTAACTATTCCTTGTCAGAGTTTTGTCAAGTTAAAACCTGCAAAGTTACATAGAAATGAGACCCATACAGTAGAATTGTAAGTGAATGTCCTCTCATAGCTTTCTCAAAGTCAAAACTGATTGGATTTCAACCAAACCACCATTTCACAGAAAACTGAAGCCATTGCAGCTGTTTAGGGATGGATTTGGCTTTCATAAAAGCGTAGCAATTACCGCATTAGGGTCTGGGCGGGTTTTGTTACAAGGCCTCGCTATGTGAAGCTACTGAATTATTCACTTAGGAGACCTGGATGCAAACTGCTGGTCTATCACAAGTGTTTTCTGCAACAGTGGACATAGCACTCGGGCTTTTTGTTCCTTACTGAGGACAGCAGTACAGCCCTAATGCATAGCTATCTTGAGACACCTTACAGCTTCTGATGAGCTATCAATTTCCATGCATCAAATAAATACCTAAGCTAAACTGTAATGAAAAACTTCATGGGAAAGTTTTGTGGAAGAAAGAGTTAATAACTGCAGCAATTTCTTTTCAGTATCTCAGACTGCCTGAAGCAATACTTTCCATTGGTGGTATTATTACTTTATCAATGTAATTTCCCAGTATTACATTTGCTGAATCTTTTTCTTCACATCTTCCATATGCAGCCACAAACTCCTTTTTAAATCTCCCTAATAAAAACCTTTTCTTGCACCAGCGTTTATGTACTATGCAGTAATGCTGCTGTTTTAAAAGAGAGAGAGAGGCTGAGAAAAAGACAGTGGAAAAGGCAGATAAAGTGTGCATTTATGTGGAGATAGCAGGGAGATACTGGGCATCACAAATCTAGACACAATTACAACCCCTTCTCAATGCATACAGCATCTGTGCTAGATGAACACATCGGCAAATGGCCAAAAAAATCCAATAGCATCCTTGATTCAAAAAAACCTCATTTAAAAATGACATTTCAGTGTGTAATGCACTTTCAGATAAGTCTACTTATAAACATATAGTGTTCCAGTTGACAAGTATATCAAAAAAAGAAGCTAGCTAGTAACTCAGAAAATAAGGGGCTTCTCAGACACGAAGCTTCCTCTGAAGTATAACCTTAAAAGCAGTTTTTCCAAAACAACTTTTCATACGCGTGTTCCAGGGTGAGCGGCTGCCTTGAAGTTAGGCCCATGGCTTACTTCTGCCCTTCAGGTAGATATTCTGGGACTTGTAGTTACATGTTAGTACCGTGTGATCACAGCCTACAAAATGCTTCCTAGGTACCGGGCAAGGGTCATAGGAAAACCTCTTCTGCTTGGCATAAAGGAGAGTTAAAAGGTTGAGCTTGTAGCAAAAAAGTAAGAAAGACTCTCAAAAAAAAAAAACCCTGGAGGAGGCATAAGGGCTACCAATCTTTTGAAACAGGAAGTGGTTTATAAACGAGTAAAATAGGTATGAGTAGAACAGGTAGCTGGGAGCAAAGCGGACTAATTGCTGACAAATAGCAGTAGCAGTTTTCTAATACCTAGTGGCATTTGTTTAATGTCCAGTTTCTCCTGTCAAATGTATATTTGATGCATTCTCTACTTTTGCATATATAATTAGGTTTCTATAGGATATGCTTATTATAGAAGCCTTGAAAATATAAAGTGAAGCATCAAACAAATTATATATTAATCTTGCTTATGTAAAATTTAATCCCTTGTTTAGAAATGCAAATGACTGTTCCCACTGGGTCATGGTTCCACTGTAATGCTACCTGGAAGAAGAGTGCAAGCACAGTTGCACATCAGAGATGTCCCTCAGTAAAGAATGCTTCTGCTTTGAAAAGCATAGGCCAATATAGTGATAGCGATGCACTGGAATTATGTAGTTCTTAACAGATCTATTTCTGAATCAGACTATATATGACACAATATTGTTGATGCAGACTCGCTGTCTAGACAATTGAGCACTGACTGCATGATTGTTAATAGGCCTGAATGAATGTACTTACTATGACATCTAGACCAGCACTGCTGCTTCTTGGAAGAAACAACTTCATATAGAAGACCCAGATGTAAACCTGGCCACGACTATAGCTGATCTGTGCCCCTGGGCTGTTCAAGAAGGACAATAAGCCTCATACTACTGGCTGCACCTCTTGTTTTCTGCAAATATAAGCAGGTAACAGTATGTCTGAACTCCATGCAATTAGACTCCAAAGTGGTTAAACATGGAGTGAAACAGAAAACAATAAAACTAAGCATCCTAAAATCAGTGCCATGATTCTAGGTGTCTGGTTCATTTGCTGACTGCCATAAGAACATGCTCTTAGTTTGTCAGACTGGGCAGTCACCAGTTTGGACCTAGTCACTAGTTTTGGACCTCTAAACATGTCTTAAGATGCAGACCTCACGTCTGCAAGCTCTCCTCACATTGGGATCCGTCCCCTCTTCAAAACTGTTTTCCCAGTAACTTCTGTATGATGCACATTCATACAGCAGTCTGTGATAATGATTTTTGGTTGGTAATATTAAATTCACTTTCCTCGAATTCTCCAAAAAAATCTCCTCTCCTTTATACTCACTGAATGTTTTGCTATGTATTTATTTAGGCACTTCAGCCTTCAATGCTAAAAACCCCTAAACCTCTACTGAATTCTACTATTGTGGACATTTATTTCATTTTGCCTTTCCTGCTTACGTTTGAAAATCCAGGACTGAATTTCTATCTGAAATACAGAAAAAAATAGTCTTTCGGGAAATAAAGAATCTTCCAGGGAGGAAACATCCAACTAGCTTATCAAAAAAAAAGAGGTGGAGAGACAACTTGGTTAATATGCAGTTATGCATTTTCTCCATCCAGACAAAGAGCAAAAAGGCGTTTGTAATATGTCAAAAAAGGAAGTAAAATATTAAATACAGAAGTTCATTGAAAACTTGGTCTACCTGGACAAGTGAAGTTCCTGGGACATCAGCATACTGTTCAATAGCTGTTCAATAGCTTTACAATCAATCCATCTAGCAAGCTGTTCTGCTACCTACTTGCTCTTCCACTCTCCACCCACCAGATGACAATATAATGTGTATTAAAGGTCTGCTAGTGTAAACCCCTAATAAATAACACTTTTTAAATCAAAACATTGTTAGAATCATTCTGAGTGAAATAAAACCCAAGCCAAAGTAACGAGTTTGTATTCTTCAAAAAGGATTGTTTTTTACAAGCAACAACCAGATAACACAGAGTACGTGCACTAAGTGTAATACATTCATGACACTCGTAGTTCTGTAATATTGAGAACAGGAAAACGTTGATTCAAGTGTCTCAGCTCAATTCTATGACTAACAGGAATAAGAAACATAAAACTGCAAGAATCTAGGGGAAATGGGGTTTGATCACGCCCATTGTGCCAAAATGGGAGGGAGACAGAACACTTCAGCTGGAGTGAATGTTTGAAATATTGGTGGAAGAGTAAATTTCACTTGTTATTCTTTTATAATGAGCCATCTAGTGGCAACATAAAATAAGTACTGCGACATGAGCATGTTTCGTTGAAAAATACCAGGCAGCAGTTTCTCCAGACCACTTATACCGTGCAGGACTGGAACCTTCAGCCCTAGAAATGGAAGAAATAAGCCATTTCTTGCCGTCCACTGCTGTGGCTTTTCCTGCACGCAGGCGAGGACAGTCTCCTTTACTGAATCTATAGCAAAGATCTTCTGATGGTAATCTCTACAGACTTCCCGTGCTGGACCCATACAATAAAACTACATCCCAACCATCTCAACGGCAAGTGGCTCTCTGTAGGAACTGGCATCAAAAGCTATCTGGCAGCACACTTGTTCTATCCGGAAAAAAACGTCAAAGCTTCACGGAATTTCTCCCGGTGAGCACGAAACCGCCTCAGCACGCGATGCCACCGTAGCTGGTGCAAACCCGGACCGGAGGGCGGCCCCAGCACCCTCCAGCGCCGCCCTTCGCTGAGCTGCCAGCCTCCGGGCAGAG